CCTCCTGGGTTCAGGCAATTCTCCTGCCTCAGCCTCCCGAGTAGCCGGGACTACAGGCACGCGCCACCATGCCCAGCTAATTTTTTGTATTTTTAGTAGAGACGGGGTTTCACCATTTTGACCAGGATGGTCTCGATCTCTTGACCTTGTGATCCACCCACCTCGGCCTCCCAAAGTGCTGGGATTACAGGCGTGAGCCACCGCGCCCGGCCCAAACCTTGTGTTTCTAACCATCAGAGAAATGGTGGACTGCATGTCCATTGGGCATACTTCATGAGCATTATCTCCAACACCAGGATCTTGATAAGAGTTAAATAGCAAAGGGTTCAAAGTCATATTCTTGGTGATGCGGCAGAGCGAGTTAAGATTTTGAACTTTGGTGTCAAGCTCAGGTTTGGATTCTGGTTCTGCCGTTTACTGGCTGTGTTCCATGGGAAAGATTATTTAATCTTCTTGAGCTGCCATTTCCTCATCCATAAATGAGAATAATAATTGTACTTACATCATAAGACTATGATAAAGGATTAGAGGTTGAAGTAATACATTTAAAATGTTTAGGTCACAGTGCCCAAAAAGTGCTCAGTAGCCAGTGGTTTCGCTTGGGGTTGGGATGGTTTTTAATTTTAACAATGATCATGTGGAATGCTGAGTCTTTCTGGCCAGTTGAAGGCAAATGCATAGGTGTGCTTTGACAATTAGCTCAGGCATAAAACTCTCCTAATTAAAGGCTATACCCAAAAAGAGGGGAGTTATCTATAGATAGAACCAGAATATTTTTCAGAAAACAGTCACTTTGATAGGAACAGCACATTCATTAATGGCCTCCAGTTAAAAGCAGCATCAGTGGGAGAGTCAAACCATTATCCTGGAAGCTGGAAAATCAACAGAGCTGTTGGTGTGTAAGTGCAGTGTATGTTGTGTACTCAGATAATTGCTGATTGAAGTATCAGTTTATAAACTTCAACCAGGAAATACTAACCTATGTTACTTGTTACTCCTTAAAATGTCTTTTAGGTCGTGATGAAAATAAAATAAAGTACATTAAAAAGTATCTTCAGGCTGTAGGAATGTTTCGAGATTTCAGTGACCCTTCTCAAGACCCAGACTTCACCCAGGTATGAGAGTGCCTTCCACTGAGCATGTATTTCCTCTTCCTCAAGGCTGCAGTTTTAATTGTGTTTTTTCTTAGGGGAATGCATTGGTAGGAAATTAGTCACTGCCAAGGCATTACAAGGGAATGGAGTGTTAAAAGGTTGAAAAACCAAAAGGATAAGGAAATTGTAAAGATAATAATATAAGTTCTTACATTCCTACTGGCTTAATCATTGTAAGTTAAGTGTGCTCCCCTATTTGAACTACTGATTCATGCCTCTTACGTGAAAGACCATTGAAAGACTGATAAAGGAATAAGAATGATACAATGGAGACTCAGGGAAAAGGGTGGGAGGGGGGTGAAGGATAAAAGATTACACATTGCTTATAGTGTACACTGCTCAGGTGATGGATGCACCAAAACCTCAGAAATCACCACTAAAGAACTTATTCTAGACTTCATTACAGGAACAAGGCTGTTTAAAGGCTAAACCATCATTATTATAGACCTAGAAAGAAGTGAAGGTACAAATATGTCAGTTCTGTTTATCCTGAATACCTTTATTTTCTAAGGTGTAAACTGAATCCACATTTTTCTAGACCACAAGCTAAACTTGTCCTGTGACCCTTGTTAGTTTTCTTATTACATTGAGGAAAGGAAATATTCAATTAGACTAAGTCTCATTTCCTGGCATTGATAACTTAATGGCTACACCCCTCCCAGATCACCTTAAAAGTGTAATGGTTTATGTATGATTTTAACAGAAAACCCACCTTCAACCTAATTCAGCCACACAAAGCTTGATGAACTACCTCCAAGGATGGGCGAGTGGAGAACACTGGGCATCTGCAGTGCCCACCCTGTTCTGAGAGGTGGCAAGGCTGCCTGCCTGTCTCCTGCTACTTAAGTGCCCATTGTGATTTTGGGAAATAAATCACTTAAGATTAATTAAGAGGATTAAGGGAAACATTGGCTTCCTTGTTTTTAAATGTGGTAGTTTTGTTTATTTGCTTATTTTTATGGTTGTGATGTTTTAAATTCTCTGGCATGCTTTGGGTTTCCTCTTTGTGGGTATAATGAAAATTTTATAATTTATTTTCTTGTGAGTCAACAGGTTGTGAACTTAGATTTGAAAACAGTAGTGCCTTGCTGCAGTGGACCCAAAAGGCCTCAGGACAAAGTTGCTGTGTCCGACATTAAAAAGGACTTTGAGAGCTGCCTTGGAGCCAAGGTAGGGGCCTGGGGGAAGAGGTTGAATCCTGTCAACTTTACGCTTGCCTGGTTACTTACTGTCCAGGCTTTCACCCCACTTGATGATGAATCTTCCTGTAGCCTGTTTCTCCATTAAGTCCTTAATGACTTCCTCCATTAGCCACAAGCCAAGCAGCAAGAGCCATCAGAAACACAAGTCAACCCACCTTTTTAAGCTTGTCTGCTTTTCACAGGACCTTCACCATATTGTTTACTCACCCAAGATTTTCTAGTTGTTGTACCTTCGTGCATGCCCCTCCCTGCCTGAAAGTCTCTTCTCCTACTTGTCGTATTCTGTTCTGTGAATTCCATAAAACTTGGTTCAGATACTACTCTGCATTGGGGTCTCAGAATCTCATAGCAGAAAGTCATCTTTCCCTTGTTGGACACTTTGTGGCGCTTGGTCTGAAATATTTTGATAGCGTTCCGTATTCTTTAACCTACATTGTTGGTACTTTATTTGCATGTATGATTTCTGTTACGAGACTGTACATTTGAGAATAGGATTTATGTCTGAATCACCTTGGGAGCCCACAAGGTACCTAGCACAGTGTCTTATATGCAGTAGATTTTCAATGAACATTTTCCAAAGGAATGATGAAGATGTATCATCTATGAGACACCAGTATTATGGCAAATATTCAGCTGTACTTTGTGTTATTGATCATGATTTGTTGAATCTGGTCAAAACAGTGCCTTTTTAAAAATTTCCGGAAGGTTAGACCATAGTCTTCATCAGTCTATATCCATTAAACTGTACAATAATATCATAAATTTAGACCAAATTTGTAGTTTTAGCATTTACATTTTTGAGGTGGGAAGGACGTAAGTGTTACTAATTTCAATGCAGAGTAAGAATGGGATATCATGACTGCTTTTTGTAAAGATTTAAAAAGAGTAATTTTATTTTTTTGAGACAGAATCTTGCTCTATCACCCAGGCTAGCGTGCAGTGGCACATTCTTGGCTCACTGAAACATCCGCCTCCCGGTTCAAGCGATTCTCCTGCTTCAGCCTCCTGAGTCGCTGGGATTACAGGTGCCCACCACCTCACCCAGCTAATTTTTGTATTTTTAGTAGAGACAGGGTTTCACCATTTTGGCCAGGGTGGTCTCAAACTCCTGACCTCGTGATCCACCTGCCTTGGCCTCCCAAAGTGCTGGGATTACAGGCATGGGCCACCACAACCAGCCAAAAAGAGTAATTTTTCTGTAGCATTTCAGAGTTTACTTGCTGAGGTACTTATGCCTTGTTAAGAATTGGCCTTTAAAATTATACTTACCAAAGTATTCCTTCATCTAAAGTGAGAACTGTTGACTATATGTATGTTTTTTGCTCTAGCCAGAAACATGTATATTTTATATAAATATATTCCTATATATTTTTTTTCTTCTTTTAGCAAGGATTTAAAGGATTCCAAGTTGCTCCCAAACATCATAGTGACCATAAAACCTTTATCTATGATAACACTGAATTCACTCTTGCTCATGGCTCTGTGGTCATTGCTGCCATTACTAGCTGCACAAACACCAGTAACCCATCTGTGATGTTAGGGGCAGGTAAGTGCGTTTGACTCCATCTTCATGCACATATGCGTGTGTAGGTGGAAATAACCTGAAACATGTCCCAGGGTCTCAGCGTAGTTCTACATGTAGTTCCCTGAACCTCATCTTTTCCAGATACAGATATTTATTGGCCCATAAATATCTACACAATAAATAGTGTCCAAAGTTTTTAAAATAGAAGGTACACTGCCTAATAGTCTCTCTTGAGAATTAACACAGAAAAAAAGTAGAGGAAAGCAAAGGAAGCTGGATTTCAGGGAAAGCCTACGTTCTTATGTCAGACTCTAGAAGAAAAATAAAGTGTTGTCACAGACTTTGTTCTCTGTGAAACCCCTGAGCAGCAGGATTGAGTTCTGACTTGGATGCTGGGAGTTGTTTCTGAATGAGGCCACAGGGCACTGGCTGATAAAACCTGGGGCACCTGACCTGTTTCGCAATTCTGGTTAAGTTGTTAATATTTACATATACGGTTTTCCTACCATAAGGTCTCTTTAGTTTTCAAGTTTTTAGTCATCCCCAAAGCGTCTTTTGTGTCCATCAACAGACCAAACAGTGTCAACTGTTCCTTTTTATGAAGGAGACACGGGCATAAGGAAAACCTTCTTTGCCTGAGTCCATGTATTGCCACCTCAGCTTTCCTTGTCTGGTTTGGAGCAAACCACTCTTCTATAGGCAAGTCATCAGCTTGTCTGTGGCTTTTGGTCCTCTCATGCCCCCACCCCCACAGCTCATGTTTTTGCTACTTCTGTGTTACTTCCTAAGACAGAGCACCCAGTGTTCCAGTAGCAGTCTCTATATCTGGCAAAGTCCAGCAGCTCAGGAGCTCTTAATCCTTCACTTCAAGATATATCTGAACACTTGATTTTTATTTCTTGGCTGACTGTTCCCTGCCAACCAGCACACAGTTGATATAGTTTTAGAAAGTGCTTCTTCAATTATGATTTTCATCAAATTCAAACATAATTAGAAAGATCATTTTCCCTCAAAAAAATGAAAAGCTCATTTTATAATATATTCCTAAATGGGTTTAGGTTTATCTTTTGTAAAAAAAAAAAAAAAAAAGTAAGCAAATCTCTTTCTTCATTTCCTTGCCAAGTTTTGAGTTTACTGCATACATTTAAATAACTATTGGCCAGGGAGCCTTTAGATTTCTGTTTGGCAGCAGAAACAGCAGATAGTGCCAACATGAAGGGAGCATGGTCAGGTGGTGGCAGGAAATGCAGACTGAAGATAATCAGGCTCTTTTCCGAAGTGCACCTGGCACCTAGAGCAGGTGGCCAGCCACACTGCATCTGTGTTTACATTTCACAGGATTGTTAGCAAAGAAAGCTGTGGATGCTGGCCTGAACGTGATGCCTTACATCAAAACTAGCCTGTCTCCTGGGAGTGGTGTGGTGACCTACTACCTACAAGAAAGTGGAGTCATGCCTTATCTGTCTCAGCTTGGGTGAGGGAAGAGTTTTCTTTTGCACCATTGTTTTTGTTGAATTTTATTCCTCGTGTACCTTGCTGTGTCACCTTGTAACAGATATGAGATTATCTGATGATATCTAATTGCATGGTTGTTTATCAGATGGTAGAGACTTAAATCCTTACATTCCATCCAAAGAGGGCCCTCCCACATGGTTCTGCTGGTTGTTCATCACACAAGGGTTTACATTCCATCCAAAGAGGGCCCTCCCACATGGTTCTGCTGGTTATTCATCACACAAGGGTACCCTCTTAAGCGCAGAGCAGGGGATAAACTCGAGCTCGTGCTTAGCTTACCAAGCCTTGTGCTCTGATGTGGTTCTGTACCTTCCTAAAAGAGGGGCTGCCTTTTCTCAGTTGCACTGAGGTGTGTTATGGACTAGCAGTGGCTCTGCAACTGAGAGTCTGTCTTTTGATGTGAAAATAATTATTAAATATGGCTAAAATCATTCTGATTCCTTGAGGCAAATTAGTTTCAGTGGTGCATTGCTTAAAGATAGCAGTACAGGCCAGCCACAGTGGCTCACACCTGTAATCCCAACACTTTGGGAGGTGGAGGCAGGCAGATCACAAGGTCAGGAGTTCGAGACCATCCTGACCAACATGGTGAAACCCAATCTCTACTAAAAATACAAAAATTAGCTGGGCATGGTGGTGGGCACCTGTAATCCCAGTTGCTTGGGAGGCTGAGGCAGGAGAATGGCTTGAATCCAGGAGGTGGAGGTTGCAGTGACCCAAGGTCATGCTATTGCACTCCAGCCTGGGCAACAAGAGCGAAACTCTGTCTCAAAAAAAAAAAAAAAAGACAGCAGTACAGGCTGGGCGCGGTGGCTCATGCCTGTAGTCCCAAAACTTTAGGAGGCCAAGGTGGGCAGATCACAAGGTCACGAGATTGAGACCATCCTGGCCAACATGGGGAAACCCCGTTCTACTAAAATAAAAAAATTAGCCAGGTGTGGTGGCGCACACCTGTATTCCCAGCTACTTGGGAGGCTGAGGCAGGGGAATCGCTTGATCCCAGGCAGCTGTGGTTGCAATGAGCCAAGATTGTGCCATTGCACTCCAGCTTGGCAACAGAGCAAGACTCCATCTCAAAGAAAAAAAAAACAAAACAGCAATACATTGAGAAATGGTGTGTGTTGGGCAATTTTGTTGCTGTATGAACATCATAGAGTATACTTGCATGGACCTCAGTGGTATAGCCTACTACACACCTAGACTATATGGTGTGGACTACTGCTCCTAGGCTATAAATCTGTATAGTATGTTGCTGTACTGAATACTACGGGCAGTTGTAACCCAGGGGTATTTGTGTATCTGGACATAGAAAAGGTACAGTACACCAGGCACGGTTGCTCATGCCTATAATCCCAGCACTTTGGGAAGCCTAGGTGGGCGGATCACTTGAGGTCAGGAGTTCGAGACCAGCCTGGCCAACATGGTGAAACCCTGTCTCTACTAAAAATACAAAACTTAGCTGGGTGTGGCGGTAGGCGCCTGTCATCCCAGCTATGCAGGAGGCTGAGGCAGGAGAATCACTTGAACTTGGGAGGGGGAAGTTGCATTGAGCCAAGATTGCACCACTGCACTCCAGCCTTGGGCGACAGAGGGAGACTCCATCTCAAAAAATAAAAAATAAAAAAAGGTACAGTAAGAATACAGTGTAAAAGATAAAAAATGGTGCACCTATTTAGGGCACTTACCATGAAGGGACTTTGCAGGACAGAAAGTTGCTTTGGGTGAGTGAGTGAGTGAATGTGAAGGCCTAGAACATTACCATACACTACTGTAGACTTTATAAACACTGGATACTTAGGATACACTAAATTCATTTTTTAAAAATGTTTCTTTAATAATAAGTTAACCGTAGCTTACTTTTATTTTGCAGTTTTTTAAGTTTATTGAAACTCTTGACTCATAATACTTAGCTTAAAACAAACGTATAGCTGTTCCAAAGTATTTTCTTTATATCCTTATTTCATAAGGCTTTTTTTATTTTTGAAGTTTTATATTTTTACTTTTTAAACTTTTTTGTTAAAAGCCAAGACAGGCTGGGCACAGTAGCTCATGCCTGTAATAGCAGTGCTTTGAGAAGCCAAGGCAAGAGGATTGCTTCAAGCCAGGAGTTTGAAACCAGCCAAGACAACATAGTGAGACCCCTGTTTCTACCAAAAAACAATTGAAAACAATTAGCCAAGCATGGTGGTGCATGCCTGTAGTCCCAGCTACTCAGGAAGCTGAGGGTGCACGATGGCTTCAGCCCAGGAGTTTGAGGCTGCAGTGAGCTATGATCGCGCCACTGTACTCTGGTTTGGGTGACAGCGAGACCATGTCTCAAAAAAAAAAGAAAAACTAAGATAAACACACAGTTTAGGCCTACACAGGGTCAGGATCATCAGTATTACTGTAATCTCAGTACTTTGGGAATCCAAGGCGGGAGCATCCCTTGAGCCCAGGAGTTCAAGACCAGCCTGAGCAACATAAGGAGACCCCGTCTAAAAAAAATTTTTTGAAGTAAAAATATGAATAGTATTCTTCTTATGCTATATGATATGCTGTATCAGAATGCTCTCAAGAATGAAAGCTTTTAGAAATAGCACTACACTGGACTTAGTTCATGCACTGCAATTCCTTTTTGAACAGTGGTTTCCAGAAACTGTGACCAGCAGAAGGGCTCACTGAAAGTGATTCTTTTTTTGTGTGCTTCTCTCTCGGTGCCTAGGTTTAACGTGGTGGGCTATGGCTGCATGACCTGCATTGGCAATAGTGGGCCCTTACCTGAACCTGTGGTAGAAGCCATCATGCAGGTAATTGCAGAGGTGCCTGCAGGTCTTCGGAGCAGTTGTTTCTTTTCTTGTAACATGTGACAAAAATGCTGGTATTTTCAAGAAGGTCCATGGAAGCAGGGGATGTGGTTTCGAGTATGGTCTTTTGAGTTTAACTAAAATTACTAGCTGGGTAACCTTGGGCAAGTTCATTAACCTATCTGTGCCTGGGTTTTCACAACAGTATATTGGAGATGATAATGGTATCTATTTTACAGAGTTGTGAGAATGAAGATGATGATAAATCACTTCAGTGCAGAGACTGGCACTCAAGGAAATGCTCAGTTCTTGCTGGTTTTGACTACAAAGACCTCTACAGTTGTTCATTATAGGTATTGGGTTGGTGCAAAAGTAACTGGTTTTTGCCATTTCAGTGATGAAGACTGCAATTACTTTTGTACCAACCTAAATAATTTGAAAATTGTTTCAAAGTGAGACAAGTCTCCACACGGATGAATCTAAACTAAATTGCTTTGGCTTGATTTTTGTAAAAAAATGCTGAACCTTGAAAAATATTATTTGGTTTGCTTTGCATTAATTATAGAATCTATATAGGTCATTGTGACTTCCTTTAGCTGTTAGTTCTTTCTCACCTGTTCTTGGGCCCCAGGCAGCAATAACTAGTATGTTGCCTTCTAACTACCTGGTATTTTCTCAGGAGCAGAAATCACTAAACGTGTCTCTGCTTCCTTTGACCCAGAGTATCTCCCATAGGGACATGCCTGTGTACCCTTTTCCCCTCTAGTAGGAGAGAACCAGGTGAAAGGGCAGCTTAAAGGACTGTATCTTTGTGATGTGAAAACTCTCACAAATGTTCTGAGACAAGACGCCTAGTCAGTCTCTCCTTTTAGTGACCTGATTTTTTTCTTGCCTTATACAGGGAGACCTTGTAGCTGTTGGAGTACTATCTGGGAACAGGAATTTTGAAGGTCGAGTTCACCCCAACACCCGGGCCAACTATTTAGCCTCTCCCCCCTTAGTAATAGCATATGCAATTGCTGGGACCATCAGAATCGACTTTGAGAAAGAGCCACTGGGTAAGATTTTTTTGTGCGGCCATAATTTTTTTCCACTGAATTCAGAAATATTACTGGAAGAAAATTGCTGCTTTTTTAAATAAGAAAGGAAGCATAGAACCTCCAGGGATAAGACAACAAGGAGAATCTTCTTTATTCTCCAATACACAGCTAAGACTTAACTGCAGCAGTTAAAGCAAGAATCTAGTGAGGGTAAAGGATGATGAAAGGAAAATAGATGCCAAAAGGAATAGACATCTTGCTAGTCTGGTTTCTTCTATAGTTCCTCTTTCTAGCTCTCACTTTAATGATAGGCATTGTTTTAATATATACTCTATAGAAACATACTGCAGATATTTCAACTTCTCAAAATTCCGAAGAAATGATACATCACCTCCTTTCCTCAGATCAGCTTGCTTGCTTGGCCCCCCTCAATCTATTCTAAGCATAACAGATAATATGAAAACAGTGCCCCTGAAATTTACTTTTAGGAAATCATAACGTTAGAGGTACAGTTGACCCTCATTATTTGTGAGTTCTATACTGTAGAGTTTCCTAGTCACTAAAATGTATTTTAACCATAGTATGTTTACGGTCATGCACAGATCAGCACAAAGGGGTGAAAACTGTACGCCACTCAACGTGCCCGTTCTATGCTGAGGTCTGAGAAGGTGTCACTCTGCCCTCTTGTTTCAGCTCTCATGTGATATACAAGAATCCTTTTCTTAGTCTACTTAGTGCCATGCTTTTTGCATTTTTGTGCTTTTTGTAGTGATGCTGCTGTTCAAAATGGTCCTCAAGCGTAGTCCTGAAGTGCTATCTGGCGTTCTTAGCACAAGCAGACTGTGATGTGCATTGTGTTTAGATAGGCTTCATTCAGAAGAGTTATAGTGCTCTTGGCTGGAAGTTCAGTATCAGTGAGTCAACAATTTATATTAAATAAGGTGTCTCTCACATGAAGCAAGGTTATGTATTGATTGGTGACCACAGGCTCCCAGGAACCTCACCCTGTATTTCCCCAATGGCAATGATTCTGTATCCACTCATTCAGTGTTCACATGAAAATGGCATATTAGAAAGTTTTCTCATTAATAAACATTTCTTCCCCAGGAATAAATGCAAAGGGACAGCAGATATTTCTGAAAGACATCTGGCCGACTAGAGATGAGATCCAGGCAGTAGAACGTCAGTATGTCATCCCAGGGATGTTTAAGGAAGTCTATCAGAAAATAGAGGTGAGGTCCCACACTGCCCTCCCTGCCTCAGAGGATCTAAGGGAAGGCTGCTCCCTTTGTGTCCTATCTGTAGACCTCGAGACTAATGGGAGTATAAACTATAGAGAGTAACATTTATTCCTTTAGATAACTGGGGAAGTGGTTCTCCGTCATTTTTCTCCTGTGACTCGCATTTTTACAAATCCCATCTCCCCCAAATGTTCCCAGATTTGGACAAGCTGGTGACAGCCTAGAGAAGAAAGCCTCAGGTTCAACTCTCCAAAACTCTACCCCTTTCTAGGACACCCTGGGATGTGTGTCAGCTGTGGCTGGGACCCCTGGCGGCCACTATATTGTGTCACTGAAGTGGAGTCCACTGGTTGAATGCACCTCTCAGAATGTACTTTTGCATGCTTTAAAGAAAAATTGAGGCCACTCAGTAGGAAGTGCCAAACTACTGAAATGAAGAAACCTTTCCATACATTTTACAAATAGTAGGAAATATATGGGGCTCAGCATCATATTCTGAGACTCTTGCATATTATTCCTTCCCTGCCTTCTGCATTCAGCTGACCCAAGGGCTTCTGACTGGGGCTGGTGGTTTAAATGACAGAACTGTCTGGGGAGAGGGTGATGTAGGTGTGATGTTCACACACTGCACCCTCCACAGGTGCTGCTTGGGAGATGGTGTTAGGGAGCTTGGCAGACATTGTGCTAAATGTGTTACTCCAAAGGCCGAGTTAATGGACCTGTGGACAGAATTCAAACCAATTTTAATGCATAGCAGCTGTCATTTGCTACCCAGTATCTATGTAACCTGGAAGGCCATTTCCCAAAACACTCAGAGAGTAATTTCCCCTTTAGTACAATCTGGATTATTTAAGTTACTGATAAGCATATGCATTCATTGTCTATTACTGTGCAACAGATTACCCCAAAACATAGTCAGTTGAAACAACAAACATATAGTATCCCAGTTTCTGTGGGTCAAGAATCCAGGTACAACTTCACTGTATACTTTCACAGGGCTCCAATCAACATGTCATCTGGTGCTGTAGTCTCTGGAGGAGGTTTCCATTTAGGCTCACTCATATGCCTATTGGCAGAATCAAGTTCCTCAAGGGCTGTTGCACTGAGGTCCACCATTCCTCACTGGCTGTTAGCTGGAGGCTTCCCTCAGCACCTTGCTATGTGGGTCTCTTTATGGCTCACACATGGTAGCTGGCTTCCATCAGAGCAAGAGAGGGCAAGAGAGACAGAAGGCAGGTCTCAATAACCTAATCTAGGAGATAGTCACTAGCTTCAGCTCACACTCAACAGGAGGGGGTCAACTAAGGATGTGAATCCCAGGAGGCATGATCCCACCTGCCATCGTAGAGGCTGCCTATCACAGTGCACATGTATGATGTTGTTTGTTTTTTAGAGACAAGTCTCGCTTTGTCACCTAAAGCTGGAGTGCAGTAGCACCATCATAGCTCATTGTCCCCTCGAATTCCTGAGCTCAAGCAATCCACCCACCTCAGCCTCCTGAGTAGCTGGGACTACAGAGGCATGCCACCACACCCAAACAATTTTTTAATTTTTATAGAAACACGGTTTTGTCATCTTGCCCAGGCTGGTCTTTAACTCCTGGGCTCAAGCCATCCTCCCACCTGAGCCTCCCTAAGTGCTGGGATTAATAGATATGAGCTACCACACCCAGCCCACAGTGCCTATGGATTTTTAAGTTACTTAGCATGACACACTATTAGTATAAATGAACTCCTGTGTGTGGCTGAGAATAAAAATGGTTTCTAGTGTAACTTAGCTTTAATGTATGTTTTGTGTTTGCATATTAAATTTTCTCTAGAATGGGATATGACTAGATCTGCCTTTCTTTTCTTTTCTAAGACTGTGAATGAAAGCTGGAATGCCTTAGTAGCCCCATCAGATAAGCTGTATTGCTGGAATTCCAAATCTACATACATTAAATCACCACCATTCTTTGAAAACCTGGTATGGCTTTTTATTTTTTAACAAAATGAGTCCTTTGAAGGATTTCTTTCCTAATAATATCTACTTTATTACCGCATACTCTTGCTTTGACTACCCATTTGATGAAAACCTTTGCAAACCCAAGCAGATATTGCCGGGGAGAGTGTTGGGAGGCTGGGATATTTGGCTGCTGTGGGCCTACAGTTTATCTGTGCAGGGGTTCTGCGTGGATGTACACAGGCACCCTGGTGATTTGGTGCCACCCGGACTTAGACCTAGTAGAGTCTGAGGGACTGCTCCAGGAGAACATCCCTAGAACCTGCTATAGTGAACATTATACTCATAAAAACCAGGGACATTGTCCCTGAAACTGATGATCTAGAAGTTTATGCTCTCCTGGGTGGGTCACTGTGAGAAGGGGATGCAGTCAAGCTCAGGATTCCAACTATCCTCAGCATCTGAGGAGTTCTAGGGATGTGAAGAGAGAATGTCATTTGCAGCTGCATTACTGTTGCTTTTTGAGGGGATATTGCCAGTACTTCACCTTTTCTTCAAGACTGAGATATGTTTTGAGTAAATTCACCTTACTTTTCTTAGCATCTTTGATAAAAACTGGAACACTAGAATTTTCTGTGCATTGGTGTGGAACTATCATCTGGTTCAGGTGCATGGACCACCATTGTTGAGTATGATCTGCTTACTTGAGAAAACCTGGGCCAATGCTGACTTTTTGTATTCTTTGCTAGACTTTGGATCTTCAGCCCCCTAAATCTATAGTGGATGCCTATGTGCTGCTAAATTTGGGAGATTCAGTAACAACTGACCACATCTCTCCAGCTGGAAATATTGCAAGAAACAGCCCTGCTGCTCGCTACTTGACTAACAGAGGGTAAGTATGAGTGAGGTGGGAAGGACTAAAGGCAAAATTAGAGTAATAGAGTGAAGGAGGCCAACATTTCTCTTTTCACCTGGCCCTTTGGAATCAGATTCTTTGGTTTTTCACTGAGGCTTAACCCTGGGGCTTAAAAACCAATTACGTTTTCTGTTTGCTGCCCAACAGTTTCTATGGGAGAAACCATTAACATGTGAATCCCAACAAGGCGAAGGGGAAAGGGACCTTCTTTTGAGGAAGTGTATACATTAGGCCCAACTGTCATCCTTGCCCCGGAGTTGGCTGATCCTTCAAGTACAAGGCTCTGCTCTTAACCTGAGGCAGAGCCTGGCCTTGCCTGAGGCATAGGGCAGAGGCAAAACCTGAAATGCATTGCCAGGTCCTGGTTGAGAAACCTAAGGTTTACAGAGCACTGCATGGAGGATTTGCAGCTTACTCATCCACTTATCAGTTCTTCAGTCTCTTGCTGATACTCATAGGTATACCAGCATTATCAACTACTGTCTCATATTAATATTAATCAAGGTCAGTGGTTCTCTAATCATGTGAGGAGATAAAAATTCCTGGTTCCTATCCCCATCTCCTGAATCAACTCCTTCAGGGATTCTCCAGAGGAAATTTGAGGAAGACAATCCAAATACCTTTTTTCTATTGATTTTTGACCCCTTTTGAGGCATGAGCATTTCAGAGAATTCAATGAAAGCAAATCTAATGCCTTCTCAGAAAAATGCACATACCCACATCATTTTGCATAGTTTCAGGGGTTCCAAGACATACTCACCTGCTCCTGAAACCTATTAAATTCTCTCAGTCCAATTAACTAAATCATATTAACACATCCATCCCCTAGTATTTTAAGAAACAGCTCAGTGAACTGGTCACTGTGTTAATCATAAGGTGTTTTCTACCACCGCAAAGTTTCCTTTCCCTGAGGGTCCACAGACAAGATTTCCTCTGATTTGGGGACAAGAAATAGCTGTTCTATTTCTTTGGCACTGCTTCGATTTCTCGCTCATGAAATTTATAAGTTATTTTGCCAGTTGTGTTTCTTTCCTTTGCATTGAGTTCCTGATAACTCAGGGAAAGATTTGAAACTATTTCTGATTACTTAATAGAACATATTTTGTGTTTCCCCCTATTCCGAGCTCCATCTGATTTGCCTACCCTAAGTCTTCTCTTTGCTTCCATTTTCTCACTTATTTTTAATTTAGCTCTTTACCTTATATGAAGCTTTATAAGCTACCTACTAACAAAATATTTTTTAGAGTTCCTTATTTTTCTAACCAGATTTGAAAGACTTTGAGTTATTCTCAGAAGAATACTGATTTATGCCTCTCACCACCCCTTCTCACCTCTCTCTCTGTTCTCTGTTGAAGCTTTGGGGACAGCTTTTCTGCCGTGGAGAACAATGCTTAGGAGATTTAGAGAAATAGCCAGGTCTATGGTTTTTTTTCCTTTTCTTGGTATAAGCTAAGGTGAATCTTCGCTTGCTTCACTAAGCCAGCACCTTTCTTGCTTGCCTTCTTAGCCTAACTCCACGAGAGTTCAACTCCTATGGCTCCCGCCGAGGTAACGACGCCGTCATGGCACGGGGAACATTTGCCAACATTCGCTTGTTAAACAGATTTTTGAACAAGCAGGCACCACAGACTATCCATCTGCCTTCTGGAGAAATCGTGAGTATTGTGTTCTGCTTCCTGCAGACACTAGCATTTGTCAGCCTTGGCTGAGGTTGGATATTTACAGTTACTTATCTTTTGGTTTTAGTTTTTCTTCACAGCTCCATCCTACCTCAAACTAACCATAGTCCTCCTCACCAGGTGTCCATATGCATAAAATCTATCATTGACAATTCAAACCTTTTCTTGCTTAGAGATTCTCAACCGTGGTTTCATTCTCATTTCTTAGGAATTGAGCTTTGAGTGAAATTTCATTTAAAGTATTTGAAGGGGAAATACTGGGTTAAATTAAAGGATATTAAGAAGTGCTATTGTATGACTTTATTGGCATGTAATTTAATTCATCTAATCCACATGAAAAGAAGGAGTAGAGAGGTGCTTGGAGGCATGCTTTGGTTCTAACGGGAGCTACTAGGGTCAGTGGGTTGCAGCAGGCATTGTTTGCTCCCAGAGCTAGGTTATACTAGCTGTGGAGCCTTGAAATTATTTCCATCTCTGAGCCTCATTTCTCTCACCTGTGAAGTGAAAAAAAAAAATACCTATCTTGGAAGAAAGCTCTGAGGCTTAAAATGAAATTGACTGAAATATAAAACCTAGCGTAGAGTCTAGTACGTGTCATAGGTCTTTAGTGTCACTTCCCTTCCCAGTGAGTGTGGTAAAATTGTCTGAAAACTGTTTAAGAAATAACCATGCCAACTTATTTTAAAACAATAATAGTTAATATGTCTATGGCACTTAATTACATTCCAGGTGTTCTCCTAAGCTTTTTGCATATATTAAATTATATAATGCTGATAACAACCCCTTGAGTTAGGTACCAGGATTATCTGTGCTTTAAATTGAGAACTGAAGCATAAAGAGGTCATATTACTCTTTCAAGTCTCACAGTGGAAAAGCTGGAATTAAAACCCAGAAAGTCTGGCCCTTTACCACCACACATACTGCCTCACTCGTAACTGATTATGTAACACAAATCTGTTCTGTAGAGATGATCATTAATCATCAGGACCTAGCCCAGCAGATCCTTGTTCAGTGAATAGCAGAGGTCACAGAATATCAAATGAAAAAAAACATAAATGTTGAATGATGGAATACCCTAGAGACCAACAGGAAAGACTTGTGGTTATGGCATTGGGGGGCCCCTAATAAATATCATAGCGTACAGCTTACTCATTTACAAGCCCTGCATAACATAGAATTTCTAGTCAGATGTCTAGAGCCTCATCTGAAGAGACAGAATCAAGGATGAACAGACATTTGAGCCAAGACTTGAACGGGGGGTGAGGGAGTGCAAAAAGTAAAAGAAAAAAAATTGTATCCTCAGAGAAGAGTTCATTTTCTGTTGCTATGAAATAACAATCAGACAACAAGAAAGAACATTTTAAATTTAAAAAGGAAATTCAAAGGAGAAGTTGATTAGTCAAGAATATTTCCTAGAATATGTAACAGAAAGATAAGAGAAAAAAATGTAAGACCTGAACTCAGGAGGCCCTAACACAGACGTGCTAAAAAGAGAACAGACAAAATGCAAGAGAGGAAATTATTTCAAAACAAAATAAAAAGCTACAAGTAAAATTTGTAGCTCCCACGGAATGGTCTGAGATCCACATTGAAAAGGCCCACTGAAGGTCCATCTAAATAATTTTAAAAGACTTATTCCAAGTTATATCATTGTGAAATCAAGAGCAACCAAAAGGAGAAATCTCAACAAAACAGCTTACATGAAACAACAGGAAATAAGGACATGTTCCAGACTTCTTGTTGCTAGAAACTTAGACTGAGGAAAACGGTTTGCATTCTAAAATCTATGCCCATCAGACCACCAGTCAAATGCACTTAAAGTAATGACACATTCAGATATTCAAAAGCTTAAAAAAAATAGCCCTCGATACATTCCTTAGGAAGCTACTTGGCAGTGTGTTCACCAAAATGAGGGAGTAAACCAAAGGGGAAGACATAGGATCCAGATGAACGGAAGCCCCAGGATGCTAGTGAAGGAAGAGCCCTCTGTAACAGGAATGCATCAAGCTCAGAGAGCAAACAGCCCAAGTTGAAACAGGACTGAGAGCTCCAGGAATGACAGTGTCATGACAGAGATTTTAAAATGGTAGATTGCCTGATGTGTTTGAATGTCTTTACGGGAGATTTGTACTCTAGGGCTTAATTTTTACTATAGGGACATAGAAACAGGAAAAACAGAAAAAATGAACATTAGTAATTTTCAAAAAAATTCATTCAAAAAAGTGAAAATTACTAACTCCAGTAGAAATATGTCTTAAATTGCCAAGAAAAGGAAATCATAATACATTACCTCGCTCAGCTGTAAATAGTATTTACATAGTCATAACCATGCAAACAACAAATGCTGACTTACCAAAATAACTATATTGGGAGGTTGGGGAGAAGGGAGATGTTTGGAAGAGGAAAGATTAGGAGAAGTAAATCCTCAAAGTAGGAAACTGACAATAACAAAAATGGAGAAATGAAGAACAAGTAGTTTAAACATAATACCTAGAGGTATAAAGGCACAGTAACAGAAGAAATAGCTAAATGTTATATCCTCTGTAGAAGAGCGTAAGAGTGCAGGGAGCTGTTGCTTTCTAAGCTGTTGAGGGCTCTCAGCATGGCGCGTTCAATAGAAAGTCAGGAGATCTGAGTTCTAGACCTGCTTAGTCCCTCTGAGCTTGGGTAACATGATGTGCTTTGCCATGAGGTTGTCAGCTTTGCAGTACTTTTTAAAGCACACACTCTCGCATTGTTAATACCCAAAGCTGTAATCTCTGAAAATAACAGATAAGCTGTTTCTTTCTGGTCTTTGAAAGGATCCAGACAATTTAGTTGGACAGAAGAAGGTTTTTCACTGTTTCTATGACAGTTTTCTAGATTTATGAGTTCTGTATTGCTGAAGACATACAGAATCCTATCCAGGTTTAGGTAATGTCGTGTGAAATTAACCACAGGTTCCATCAGTACACCAAAATACAAATTTGTGAAAGCCTATTTGAGAGTTTTCTTTAGCTCCTGTCTCTCTTTTGAGGAATTTTATCTTCTGACTTATAGCCAGGAAAAATAATAGTACTGCTCAGCCACCAGAGATGATATCATGTGTTTGTAAACTCTCAGTTCAGCAGATATTCAGATTTCCTGTGAGAAATCTACTTGTATGTTTCTCATGTACTAAAATATTTATCTTTTTCTACCTTTAATTGACTTGGGCTTCCATTTGCATTTCTAGCATCGCTACCCTTGATTTTCATGTAGAAAAGTTTGCACTTTATATAATTTCAGAACTTGTTACCTTCTTTGTTTTGTTACCCTTTACAACTGACCTCACTGAGTTTCTGATATTGAGTCAGAATCAATGTTTAGGTTGGATTCTGTTTGAGTTTTACAATAGTTTTGTCTATGGAAAAGAAAAAAATCGGATATAGTTTCCTTTTGTCCCTGATGCCTTAGGATTCTAATGTGTTTATAAAACCAATAACAGGCATTTCTGTCAAAAGAATATAAAATGGTTTTTAAGAATACAAAATTTAAGGCCGGGAGCAGTAGCTTATGCCTCTAATCCCAGTACTTTGGGAGGCTGAGGTGGGAGGATCACTTGAGGTCAAGAGTTCAAGTCTGGCCAGCATAGTGAAACCCCATCTCTACTAAAAATACAAAAATTAGCTGGGCTTGATGGCGGGTGCCTGTAATCCTATTTACTTGGGAGACTGAAGCAGGGGAATCACTTGAAACCCAGGAAGCAGAGGTTGCAGTGAGCTGAGATCGTGCCACTGTACTCCAGCCTGGGTGATAGAGTGAGACTCTATCTCAAAAACAAGAATACAAAATTTAATTTGGTAGAAGTAAAAAGACCAAGATAATTGGGAATTTGTAGACCAGATATCTGATTAAGCAGACTTGGCCATCTGCAGACCCTTCTGGCCCTGCCCTCACCAGTGCTCAGGGGGCCTATGTCCACTCTTTGCCTCTCCTGCATTTGTAAAACTTCCTTTTCTCTTCTTCAGCTTGATGTCTTTGATGCTGCTGAGCGATACCAGCAGGCAGGCCTTCCCCTGATCGTTCTGACTGGCAAAGAGTACGGTGCAGGCAGCTCCCGAGACTGGGCAGCTAAGGGCCCCTTCCTGCTGGTGAGTATGAAGCAGAGACATCCCAGGAGGCAGCTCCCCTCTGAACTGGGAGGGTGCCAACAAATCCTGTTCCTTTACTTTCCAAGATGTCATGGAAGAGCAGGGTGAAAAAAAGCAGGTAGTGTTTATTCTTTGCCTGTTTCTTGGTGGCTCTGGATTTATTTTACTTGGTGAAGGACTATGCAGAGTTGAACTGGATCTGTCATTCATTAATGGAACTTGGGCGTGTGTCTATAGAACAGTTTTGGGAACTCTGAAGTCTTTGAAAACATATCCAGAAGAGTACATGTATGTCTTTCAGAGGGAGAAGTTTCATGGCTTTTTTTTTTTTTTTAACATTCTCAGAGGTTGAGGAACCAAAATTTATTCAAGTCCTTTGTTCTGGGTGAATGTCAGGGATAAACCAGGGCTATTGTATTGTCTGTCAGGGTTACAAAAGAGAAAAGGAGCTTGCACTTTTTCAGGAGTTACTTTGGCAAGAATGCGTTCTAAGTCTCTTGGAAAACTGAGAGAATCACTTTTTACAATTGCTCTTCACTGCCTATGAAAATCTGCTTATGGGCTCTTGAGAGAGGGAGACTCGCTCTGCATATAGGCAGGCAGCTCTTTAGAACCTTCAGCCATCTCGGGGCTCCACCTCTTGAGGTGTCCCCATAGAAGGGGCCATGCAGGGAGCAGAGAGCTTTTTTACCTCTTGAGCATTTGCTTGCCCTAAAACCAGAAAAGAATTGTGCCACCGAGCCGGAATCTTCAGGGTGGGGTAAAAATGGCTTGCCTGATGTCCATTTAAATCATTTATGGCTTGCAAATTAATGTACTTGGGAAACACTAAGTTCATATCCACAGTACAGTAATAAAAATGTGGCTGTCTGGCACACAGTTCTCCAGACATCTAGGCTTCTGAAAATGTCTTTGAACATCACACTAACTGGTTATTTTGCTCCGAGGATTTAGAAATGTTCTCTGATTAGTTGGTAGTAGGTCAAAGGCCTATCTTTTCTGTAAACTACTGAAAAGAACCAGATAATTGTAGAAGAAAAGGATTTTAGGAAGGTGATTGGGAGTAGTAGCCAAAATGAGACCCAGGCAGTGAGCACTCAGGGAGCTGTAAGATCTGATAGAGGATAAGAAGAGAACTGGCCCCCAGGGGTTCTCTAGAGTCCACACTTTGTATAGAACCACTGAGCTCTGGCTGCCCAGGAAAACATATGCTCTTCTGTTCTGTAGCTGTCCGGGCTGGGCCACTCAGCTGTGCTGGACTGTACTTACCAGAGAGCAGTGGACAGCTATGATTTACAGCTTCTGAAGCACAGCAGCATGGCCTTTACACAGAGCTAGTGACCTGAATAGTGTGTGTTTAGAAAGCTTTCTACTTCCCCAGAATACATCCATCTATACCTAAATCCCTGGAAAATATCTACTGCCCCAAAGAGTCTGCAGCAGTGCTTCCCAAGTTTGGAAACAGAGGATTTTTTTTTTTTTTTTTTTAATACCTGTGCTTGGATCTTATCTCCAGAGATTCTGGTTTAATTGATAAGGAGAAAGGCCTGGACATTGGGATTTTAAAAGATTTCCCTGGTGATTCTGATAATGCAGCAGTGGTTGAGAACCACTGTACTATAGTTCATAGTCCTCAAAATGATAAGAATCACCAGCCCCCCACCCCCACCCCATACTCCCTGCAAGATATTCTGATACAGCAGATCTGGGATAGTACCCAAGTTTCTTTGTTTTTAACAAGCTCCCAAAGTAACCCTGGTGTTGGGCATCTAAAAGTGTGCCCAAGACACCTCTTAGGGTATTTTAATATTTTATGACAGTTATTATTAATAAACTAATGGGGGAGTTCTAGTTAATGGAGTACTATGCTTCATTGCTGTATATTGCCAATTATAGATTCCCAATAAAACATTCTTTAAGCTTAATATCAATACCGTATTCAACGCAATATGATCTTTGAAGCAGCAAGTGTAAGAGCAGTACACAAGAGGCAATCATTTACTTTATCTGTGGTATGTTTTAAAGTTGCATTTTTTTATAATAGGGAAAAATTTTATGTTGTTTTATGATGTGGATTCCAGATACAATGTAAGTTGCTAAGACATGTTATATCACTTGTCAGACTCCATGGGTCCAGATACCAGCACTGACTCCCTGGGTAAAAGGGGACAGTAAGAGCATCTCCATCCCCAGGTTAGTGGAGGGTAGAATGAGAGGAATTATTTAGGTGCTTACATAGTGCCTTTACATTGTAGGCAATCAGTAAAGACTATTCTGTTATTTATCACTAGAGGATAACATTGTATGTAAAATATTAATAGGTACTTACAAATAATTTAGGCGTGACAACAGTTCTAACGTGTTTATAAATCTGTGTATCCAAAGAAAAGACTGGAACTGTGTCTCATCTACGCTCTATTCATCAGGGAATCAAAGCTATCCTGGCTGAGAGCTATGAGCGCATTCACCGCAGTAACCTGGTTGGCATGGGGGTGATCCCACTTGAATATCTCCCTGGTGAGAATGCAGATGCCCTGGGACTCACAGGGCGGGAACGATACACTGTCATTATTCCAGAAAACCTCAAACCACGAATGAAAGTCCAGGTCAAGGTAAGCTGGAGCATCTCCGTGCCAGGCCCCTTCAAAAGGGGCCCCTTGTTTGTAACCAATCTTGTTAGAAGGAAATGAGTGAGGTTTGGAAAGCAAAAAATACCACTCAGTAGGACTGCATTAGACTTAGGAGTCCTACTGGCACCTTTTCTACCTGCCTTCACAACCCAGGATGATGCCTATGGATTTATTAATTTCTCTGTTTATTCAGTTATCCTCAGTTCCATTCTTACCTCCCACCTCTCTGTCCCCTGTTCTCCCCAGTCTCACTTAGCCCAGAGGCAGAGGATTGTGATGAGAGCTCAGGGATGTGACATTTCGTATTACCTAAAACATTTTATTAAAAAGCTGTGAGCAATAGATACACTTATCCCTCCCTAAGCCTGCCCATAGGCACCAGGCTTTGATTAACCCAAGAGTGAAAATGACACATCCTTAGGCAAGGTAAAGTACCCAGGTCCCGGGGGTATTCAGTGCCCCGGGGAGGCAGTGCAAAAGTCTGTATCTCAGATAAGCAGGTGGGCCAGCTGCCTAAGGGACAGCCTTAATGAAACCTCTGCTGATTGGGTACTCCCTGTGGACAGAAGTATCCAGAGGTTTAAAAAAACATTATCCCTATGTCATTAATAGCTACTGCCCTGAGAAGCTATTTTTACTTCTTAGATGCCTCTCTCCCTCATTTACAGCCTGCAGTGCTTTTCAAGCTTTAACGGGCAAAGCAGCCTCCCAGGGATCTTGCTGAAATGCATCTTCTAATTTAGTGGGTCTGGGCTAGGGCCAGCGGCCTTGCATGTCCCCATGTGCTGCTGGTATTGCTGGAGTGTGGACCACACCTGAGGGGCAAGGTGGGCAAAATCTCCTCCCAACAGAGCTGTCATACCTCCTCCCTCAACAATTCTTCCATCTCTTTGTGCCGCAGCTGGATACTGGAAAGACCTTTCAGGCTGTCATGAGGTTCGACACCGACGTGGAGCTCACGTACTTCCTCAACGGGGGCATCCTCAACTACATGATCCGCAAGATGGCCAAGTAGGAGACCTGCACTTGGTGCTGTACCCAGGGAGGAAAGTATGCACCAGCCAAGGCGTTGGTGCCATTCCTGTAGGCACAAAACCAGAAGTTTTTACATTCTCTATTTTTGTTAAAAACTCAGTAGTGCCAGAAACAGAGAACCAAGCTTGTCTTTAAAGTTACTGATCACGGGATGTTGATTTTTCACTGTTTGTTTCCTATTAATCAGCTGAACACAAGCAAACCTTCTCAGAAGGTATGTACCCTCTTATTGTTCCTCTCTTATACTCTACTCAATGAAACTTTTCTCTTGAGGGTCATTTTGCTTTCTATATTATACCAGTGTTAACTGACATGGACCTATATAAGAACTTTTCACACTTCAAATCAGAGCAGTGATTCTCTCTCCTTTTCCTTCAGAGTCAATCATCCAGACACCTCATGGACAATTCGGGTGTTGGAGTTTTTTTGATTTGTACCTTTTGATAGATCAGCATAAAAAGAAATGTGAAGTTGTCTTTTTACTATCTTTTCATTTGTCAAGAGGAGACCTTTGTTGGGAGGCAGTTTGGGAAAACACAACATTTCTAATATGAATGAAATGAAATCTATTTTCAATGAAAACTTGTTGACTTTGAGTTTTTCTGTGTGTGTGGCTAGAGTTTTGGGATGTTTAGAGCAGAGTGAATCCATTAGGAAGCCTGAATAACGTTCATATTCTCCGATTTTTATGCCTCTATCAGAACTGTACAGGTATAACGGAAATGTTTAGGAACCATTCTACTCTGCCCTGTTTGGAAGCAGACAAGAAGGAAGAGTAGCCTGGTAGCAGTAGCAATGATGTAAGTATGTAAGGAAAAGCAGATGATAGGTTTTGCTCCTTTTTACCTCTGTAGCCATTTCTGGGCATGTCTTAGTTTGCTCAGGCTGCTATAATGTAATCCTGTACACTGAATGGCTAAAAGAACAGAAATGTATTTTCTTTTTTTTTTGAGACGGAGTTTTGCTCTTGTTACCCAGGCTGGAGTGCAATGGCGCGATCTCGGCTCACCGCAACCTCCGCCTCCTGGGTTCAGGCAATTCTCCTGCCTCAGCCTCCCGAGTAGCCGGGACTACAGGCACACGCCACCATGCCCAGCTAATTTTTTGTATTTTTAGTAGAGACGGGGTTTCACCATGTAGACCAGGATGGTCTCGATCTCTTGACCTCGTGATCCACCCGCCTCGGCCTCCCAAAGTACTGGGATTACAGGTGTGAGCCACCGTGCCCGGCCCAGAAATGTATTTTCTTACAGTTCTGGAGGCTGGAATTCTGAGATAAAGTTCTAGCCACTTCATTTTCTGGTGAGGACACTCTTCCTTGCTTACAGATGGCCACGTTTTTGCTTGTTCTCACAGGGCATTTCCTTGATGTGTGCCTGGTTGGGGGAGAGAGAAAATGAGGTCTCATGTCTCTTCTTACAGCAACACTAATTATATTGGATCAGGGTCCCACTCTCATGGATACCCAAGAAAGCTGGTGGTATTATAACTTAGTTCAAGTCCAAATGCCTAAAAACCTGGGGAGGGGCATGGGGAATGCTGGTCTAAGTCCTGGAGTCTGAGTGCCCAAGAACCAGCAGAAGCTGTGATGTCCAAGTATAGGAGGGCGGGATCCTTCTAATGAATTTCTAATGTGGCCTGGTCATCAGAACAGCTGGGATCTAATCCTCTTTCTACTTCTCAACAGATGAGGAATCAACACGGGTTATTTAGCATCCCTCTATTTGTGCTCCTGGGGATCTAATTTATGTTCATTAAAAAAAAAAATTACAACAGCCAGGTGCAGTGGCTCACACCTATAATCCCAGCACTTTGGGTTGCAAGGTAGACAGATCACCTGAGGTCACAAGTTCCAAGACCAGCCTGGCCAACATGATGATGAAACGCAATCTCTACTACAAATACAAAAATTAGCCAGGGGTGATGGTGGGGACCTCTAATCCTAGCTACATGGGAGGCTGAGGCAGAGGCTACAGTCAGCCGAGATCGTGCCATTGTACTCCAGCCTGGGCTACAAGAGTGAAACTGTCTCAAAAAAAGAAAAAAAAGAACTCCATTGTACAAAAAGCCTGTGATCCTCAAATTAGGATCAGTCCTAGAATAAAAACACTAAGAATGGCTGAGAAAACAGACCTCCACCGTCTTGCTCCCCATTACTGAGCAGCTGGGGAGCTATCCAGCTCCCCACATTCAGTGGCTCCTATAGTCTGAATGTTCATATCCTCCCCAAAATTCATATGGTGAAACCTTAACCTCCCAGGTGATGGTAATAGAAGTGGGGCCTTTGGTAACAGAAGCTAAGCTGGGCCCTCTGGATGGAGCTAGTGCCTTTTAAAAGAGTCTCAAGAGACACCCCCTCATCTACCCTGGGAGAACACAGCAAGAAGGCACCATCTGTGAACTAGAAAGTGGGTTCTCACCAGATACTGAATCTGCCAGTGCCTTGATCCTAGACTTTGCAGCCAGAACTGTGAGAAATTTGTTTATAAGCCACAGAGTTCACCATATTTAGTTACAGCAGCCCAAGCAAAGACGATGGTTATGAGGAAACAGATTATTGTGGCTAGACTAACGGAATGGAGGTCCCTTAACTCCAAATACACCCTCTGTCCTTTTCAGTAAAAGTATCTAGGCCAGGCACAGTGGCTATAATCCCAACACTATGGGAGGCCGAGGCTGGAGGGTTACTTGAGCCCAGATGTTTGAGACCAGCCTGGGCAACACTCTACCAAAAGAAGAAAAAAAAAATTAGCCAGGTGTGATGGTATATACCTGTGGTCCCAGCTGTTCAGAAGGCTGAGGTAGGAAGATCATTTGAGCCTGGGAGGTCAAGGCCATGATCACTGCACTGTACTCCAGCCTGGGTAACAGAGAGACAGACACACACATACCCGCACCTTGGCCAGTGTCTCAACCTTGCCCACTAACAAGGCTAAATAAACCAACTTGGTTTTTCCTTAAGGAAAAAACCATCTTACTATTCAAATTAAAAATATTCTTCTCCCTCCCATATTCTTTGGGAATGAATATTCCCATCTTGGTTCTTACAGTTTTCCAAATTTATTACTGCTTGATCCTTCCTAGGGAAAAAGGCATACCTGGCATCCACAGCAAACTAACAGTTAATATTTTTAATGTAGCAAATAAGGAAGAGGGATGCCCTTCATGTGTATTTACACACTAGATTTTTATGGTACATGGAGAGTAATCTAGGGGAAAGATATATTAGGCATGACTCTTAGCTATGGTAGAAGCACAACTCAAATTGGCTTAAGCAAAAAAAAAAAAAAAAAAAATAGCTGGCTGATAGAACTTGAGGAACAGTGGTGGCCGTGACTGTGGACTTGATTGGATCTTGTGACTCAAAGTCAAGTTCCCTTACATTTGCCCCTCCAACCACCCCCCATCCCTCTGCCAATCATACCTTCTGTTGGCCTCTGCAGTAGAGTGGCCTCTTCTCCTGGGCTCTTTCATATGCCAGGGGATATGGCCAGGTTCTGGGGTAACCATTAATAGTATGTGATCTTAGAGATTTGTCTCCCAGTTATTCCCTAGGGAAAAAATATTGGGGAGTTTTTAGTCACTTAAATGAAGAACGTTATTTCTGGCAGTTTCCCTTTCAGGGCTCTATTAGGACTGTGGAGTAATGCACCGGGTTATGTGGGAGCAATGCAGAGCCACTTTTGAAAAACAGTAACCAAGGTTCTACTGGCTGCCTTCTTAGGACATTATTAAATGCCATGAACACAAGTGGAATATAACACCCAGCCAGTTTCTTTTCACCCAGACAGCATAATTATCATGAACAAAGATTATATAAACGATAGCTGATATTCTTAAGTTTTAAAAGTTGGCATCCCAAGAGTGAATCCTACATATTAAATACAAATTTGTTGAATGAAATTTGTAGTTTTATTTTATGGTATAATGAAAGAGAGTTCCAGGCATGCTCCTCAAATTTGGTTCTAGTTGTCTTCTCGTATGCAGGCTGGATACCTGCTACTGTGCTTCTACAGGATGTTAACAGTGTTCCCTGAGTAAAACAGACCCAGGGTCAGTACATTTGGGAACAGTTAAACGGGTTTTATCACTGCAGAACAGACACAAGGACAACGTGTGCTGTAAATCACTGTTTGCAGGGAAGGTGGCAGCAAATGGCACAGAAACCCACCTGACCACAGAGTGCTTTCTTCTGGGTGTCTCACACACTATGCTCCACAGGATACTCTTAAGAAACACTGAGCTATGGTTGGTTTGTTGTTTGAAATTCAAATAACAATGAATCAATTTGAAGGACAGGAATCAGTTTACTGACCTGGTGTTGAGATGACTGCCTCTTCATTTCAGGATGAAAATATCACAGCATCAGCACAGGCCAGGACCACAGAGATAATAAGGTGGTGACTGTATAACAGGTTGTGTCTGAACCACAGGAACTTCAAAACATGTACATGGCTGGACACCCTGCCAGGATGTAGTAATGGGGCTGGGCATGTGTCCATGAAAAAGACTCCCCAGTTGGTTTTAAAATGTGGCCTTCAGTATAGAAATAAATTACCAGCATTTAGGAGTCAGTCAAGAGATTGCAATTCCTAAAAGCCTACCTACTCATTTCTTTGATTCAGTACATATTAACCAAATGCCTACTTCGTTCAAGTCCATACCTGGCAATGGCATTATTCCATTAAATGTCAAACAAAGAAATGCTACGTTTTCCTTATTTCACTTCAGTCTGCCTGTGACTGAATCCAAATTGAATCATTTACATACTTAAAAGAACTTTTCTTGGCTGGGCATGGTGGCTCATGCCTGTTATCCCAGCACTGTGGGAAGCTGAGGCAGGTGGGTCATCTGAGGTCAGGTGCTCAAGACCAGCCTGACCAACATGCTGAAACCCTGACTCTATGAAAAGTACAAAAAATTAGCCAGGTGTGGTGGAGGGTGCCTGTAATCCCAGCTACTTGGGAGGCTGAGGCAGGAGAATCACTTAAACCCAGAAGGCAGAGGTTGCAGTAAGCCAAGATCGCGCCATTATACTCCAACCTAGGCAACAGAACAAAGACTCCAGTTCAAAAAAAAAAAAAAAAAAAACTTATGAAATTTATTTCTAGTAGATGTTTTACACATCATATTGGAGTTCTTAAATGATAGTGTATTAGTCCGTTTTCACACTGCTATAAAGAACTAGCTGAGACTGAATATAAAGAAAAGAAGTTTAATAGACTTACAGTTCCACATGGCTGGGGAGGCCTCAGGAAACATAATCATGGCAGAAGGGGAAGCAGGCATGTCTTACATGGCAGCAGATGAGAGAGTGTGTAAAGGAGGAATTGTCAAACCCTTATAAAGCCATCAGATCTCCTCAGAACTCACTATCCCAAGAACAGCATGGGGACAACTGCCCCCATGATCCAATCACTTCCCATCAGGTCCTTCCCTTGATACATGGGGATTATGGGGATTACAATTCAAGATGAGATTTGGGTGGGGACACAGAGCCAAACCATATCAAATAGCAATCAATAAAAACCAACTGCACAACAAAAGACACTCTTAATAAAAAACAAATGAAAAATTAAAAAGCTCATAAACCTGTTTTAAATAATCCATTTGTATTGGGTCTTACTAAGACAACTACTACTAGTAACTTACCAAGCAACTACTGTGTCATGTACTTTTCACACATTCTTTAAATTAAAAACTCTCTACTAACCCTTTCAGTTCAGTATTATCCTTGTTTTACAGATGAAGAAAAGCCAAAGAAAAGTTACATAACTGGCAGGTTTCTCTGGCTCCCCGCTTGCACCACTGGTCACCGACTGCACGGACAGGGAGGCGGCTGTAACACATCATCCCGTTGATATCCAGGGAACTCAGGCACTTATTTCCATGTCTAGAAAACTGCAAACTAAGCTCTTTGAAGCATCAGCAAACCTTGTTAAGTGACACATGAATGCCATTTGAATACATATTCTAATTTTTCAAGTAGAAAGGACAAACTGCCTCATCAGTAACATCCAAGGGACCTGAGAACAGACATTCAGTTGAACGTCAGCCATTAAAGGAAAATGGTCAAAGAGAACAATGGCACATGTTAAGGGAACACATTAATAGGACAAAATGTATTTGGCAAGTTTCTAAGAAGTATTTTACCATTTTTATGCTCACTGCTAAAAGCTGTCCACTGTAGAATGGACACATATTGCTACACACAGCTGTTCTACAGTGGACAGCTTTTAGTATGAGCATAAAAATGGCTTTATGTACTCATGTTCTCTGTGTAGCCATACCACACGTTGCTACACAGAGAACATGAGTACATATAACCATTACATATACATACCTGTATGTATAATAGTTACATATACATATGTATAGTATATACTTCTATATATACATATATTGAATCCTTGGAATTATCACACTTAAGGAATCAGCAAAGAGGACTCAATAAAAAAGACTAGAATAGAACTAGAAGAGAAGCCAAGGGAGAATTTCAAGAAGAGTACTCAACAGGGCCAAATGCACAGAAGTCAAATAGAAAGAAGGTCAAGAAATGCCCAATGGATTTGGCAACCAGAGTCACTGGTAACCTTCAAAAGAACAATTTCAGTAGATTGTTAAGAGCAAAAGCCAGTTTACAGTAGGTTAAGACAAGAAAGAGAGGTACAGAAAAATTTCCAACATTCCATTAATCTATCCCAACATGTACAGAGCAATCCCTGTGTGTTTGTTGGCAGCTGACTCTAAAGAGAAGGCTAGAAATAAGGCTTTTTAATTTTTCCCAAGTACTATGAGCTCTGTTGGCCTACTAAATATTCAGTGCTGTGATTCATTCATTTGTGCTCTGCATATATAATATAGTACAAGCTGTTAATGATATTAAAAAAAGAAACCCTCACAGTGGTACAAGCAATCCATGATTATACCCACTAGGTTTCTTCTCCACTCAGAGTTACTCATTCCCTGAAGCTGAAGATTGAGGCTCTGATATCATTTGGACATTTCTGCTGCATCAAATGGTATCTTCTCAAAATGAAAGTCCTTCCACTTTGAGTACAGTGTCTGAACTCCAGTTGCAATATCCTCCACCACAAAACTTTCAATTTTTATAACTGGAATCTCAAATGTCTTGTACTTCACATGGATTCCCCAGTCATGGCTGCAGTCCTGTCGGGCACAGAATATCTTCGCTCTTTTATAAAAATTTGAAAACTGTATTGGTTTAGGATGTGGTCTACTCACAAAGCATGCCTTAAACGCATCTCCAAGCACAGTGTAATGGGATTCCTACAGAGGAAGGGATGGAATAACACACAAAAGAGAACATTAGAACCAGTACATAACTGTGATTTAAAAAAAGAAAAAAAAAGGAACTCCACAATAATCTGAGATGAAGAACAGGTGGGTCTCGCTTATTTTACAATTGGAGGGAAAAAATATATAGATTCACCTAAGTCCAGAGGAGGATCCATGCACCTGACTTGACTCTACAGGATGGGTGGGGTTGCAAGTGAGGATACCGGGTACCTCATGGAGAGGAGGATTTAAGAAGTTTCCAGGTAACCCAACTTCTAAAGGTAGATGCTCTTTATTCAAAAACAAAAGCAGTGTTTGTTGAAAATCTGTGAAGCTCAAGTTCACCACACCAGTGACCCTGGCAGGCACAATCCAAAGGATACAGGGAAAAACAACCAAGGTCAAGACACAATTGAAGAAGGTCAGGGACTAATGTGTCCACATGCCTCACCTAGAGTCAACTTTAGAGTAAACAGCTCAGAAACCAAATGCAGATCCAACATACTAGTCCCTCAGGAAAACATGGTCTAACAGGGCCATTTTTAATCGAATAATCACCCAAATTGGAGCTGAAAGGACCTTTTGCAGATAAAGAATTAGACTCAGAAAAGCAAGGGAACTTAGCAATATGACCCCTAATATGCTTCTTGTCCAAAGAGCTGGGCTGATGAGAGATTTCTGCTTTCTGAAGAGGAACACCCTGAAGTAATAACTCCTCATGTAAGCCAGCCCGGCCCCTCCACCGTGCCCTTCATGCAAGAGAGTTATACCCTACATTTCTCTTTGAAGATCTTTCTAACCCTTTCTCTGAAAGTTTTAAGAAAAAAACATAAGGCTGCAATAGAAGGCTAACCTGCAGATATCATGTTTTACAAATAAGGAGATATTTTGTTTTCATTATAAAGGTGATCCATAGTCCAAAGGGAATGTTTGAAAAACATAAAATAGAAGGAAAAGAGAAAAAAATCATGGAATCTCACCACTAAAATATTAATACATTTTGATATAGTTCCCCTGCTCTTTGTTTTTCTGTAGAAACATAAGTTTTTTGTTTGACTTTTTCTTTTGATAGTGGCAATGGTGGTATTTGCTGCTATTGTTTCACACAGCTATAAAGTACCATCTTTACAATTTTGAGTTCTTGTTATTTTTTCCAAGTCACCATTAGTTTGTAAGCAGTTTTTTTTTTTGTTTGTTTTTTTTGAGGCGGAGTTTTGCTCTTGTTACCCAGGCTGGAGTGCAATGGCACGATCTCGGCTCACCGCAACCTCCACCTCCTGGGTTCAGGCAATTCTCCTGCCTCAGCCTCCTGAGTAGCTGGGATTACAGGCACGCGCCATCATGCCCAGCTAATTTTTTTGTAGCTTTTTAGTAGAGACGGGGTTTCACCGTGTTGACCAGGATGGTCTCGATCTCTTGACCTCGTAATCCACCCGCCTCAGCCTCCCAAAGTGCTGGGATTACAGGCGTGAGCCACCGCGCCCGGCGTAAGCAGTTTTTATACTGAACTTCATAGTCATTTTTAAAAAATAAACTACTTTGGAATGATTTTAGATTAAAGAAAAATTGCAAAGATACCCCAGAAAATTTCTGCATACCTTTACCCAGTTTCTCCAAGTGCTACTATCTGATATAACACAGTACATTTGTCAAAAACCAAGAAATTAACATCAGTACATTACTATTATCTAAACTACAGATTTTACCACTCTTTCTTTACTAGTATCTTTTATCTGTTCTAGGATCTAATCCAGGACTTAGCATGACCTTTTTTGTTTTTTTCCTGAGACAGTCTTGCTCTGTCACCCAGGCTGGAGTGCAGTGGTGCAATCTCAGCTCACTGCAACCTCTGCCTCCTGGATTCAAGTGATTCTCCTGCTTCAGCCTCCCAAGTAGCTGGGATTAGAGGCACCCACCACCATGTCCGGCTAATTTTTGTATTTTTAGTAGAAGCGGACTTTCGCCATGTTGGCCAGGCTGGACCTCAGGTGATCTGCCTGCCTCAGCCTTTCAAGGTGCTAGGATTATAGGTGTGAGCCACCACCCCCAACCTAACCATTGTTTTTAATGGCTGTATGATATTTAAGTAAGTGGCTGTACAACATTTTTTTTAAACTATTTTTTTCTTTTTTTGAGCCAGGTTCTTACCTCTGTTGTCCAGGCTAGAGTGCAGTGGTGCCGTCACAGCTCACTGCAGCCTTGATCTCCCAGGCTCAAACAATCAGTTCACCTCAGTCTCCTGAGCAGCTGGAACTACAGACGCATGCTACCAATCCCAACTAATTTTTTTTTAGAGATGGGGTCTATGTGGCCCAGGCTGGCACTTGAACTCCTGGACTCAAGCGATCTTCCCACCTCGGCCTCCCAAAGTGCTGGGATTACTGGTGTGAGCCACCATGCCTGGCCAAAAACGATTTATTATTGAACATTTAAGATTTCTTTTTCACTTCTTAACTTTTTTTAAAATACATAGATCATGGCCATAATAACAATGGAAATAGTAGTTTTACTATAAATATTTCATCAACAGATAGTAAGCTTTAGCTAGTGCTAAAACATAACCAGGTATTCTTTATAAAAAGGCAGCTTACCTC